CTTTTCATAAGTCATACACCTGTTATACTTTTTACTAAGGATTTTTGAATTTGTAACTCCATATATCTAGGAGTCAAATGTGATGTTATCTGATATTTGCAAGAGTAAATGATATTAATTACATGAATCTAAATCTTTGTCAGAAAAAAAAATTAAAAGAAAAACAAAGATTATGATCATGTGAGTGGTGGGCAGGTTTATTTTTACTTTTTTTTTCTTTTCAAAATTCTGAATGTATGAGAAAATGTAGGGAATTAAGTTAGGCATACTTTAGTGTTTTTAAATTTACATTTTGATATTAGTTTTTATAAATAATTTTAATTTTTAAGATCCTCTATAATAAATTTTATTCGTTTAAGGTCCTTTGTTTTAATTTTCTCAAAACGGAAAAAAGTAATACAGTCGTAAATCGCAATAATAAATGCGAATAAATACTTAAACCAATACAATTACTTCAATGGCTAACTTATTTAAGCCCTCGACTCTAGCTCAAGCCTCCCTCCAAATCAATAAATCTACCAAATTTTTAAGATTCCGTGTATTTATTTGTGACAATTAATGCCATTAATTGCAGCACAAATTCGAGAAAAGTGAATCTCCTTTGTGGTAAGATTGAAATGAGATTTTTTTTTTTTCGTGTTGGCAAAAGAAAAGAAAAGAAATGAGAGTTTTTTTTTTTCACGTTATCTTATACTCTTTTGACTTTATTTATAAGTTACTTCTAACATATTTTATATAGACTAATAAAAATTTTAAATTTTATTAACTCGAAATTCAAAATACAACAATTTTTTAATCTTATCCTTATTTAATATACATTATAATTAAAGTTAACACAATAATAAATAAAGGATAAAATTGTATATCCATACAAAAAAAATTTCTTAGTATTCTATAAATAGGACCAATAAATATCTTTTCTCTCTACCCTATAAATAAGACTAGAGGAGTACAAGTGATTTAGGCTGTTTAAATTTTTATTTTTATGTTTTAATGAATATATATGTATATTTTTTATTTTGTACTTTTATCATTTGGAAGGAAAAATATTATAAATTAAAATTAAATTAAAATTTTTTAAATTAAAAGTTATACCTTAAAAAATGGTACTAAGAGATAAGATTTTTCTCAAATTTGAAAGGAGTTAAGAAAAAGTGTTTCAATTGAAAATGATGTAATTATGGTAATAATATCTCTCAACCATTCCTTACATTTAATGCTCCCATCACTTACACGCCCTCCTTTTCTTGATTTTCCTTCCCTCTCCCCCATGCTATTAATTAATTGTCCCCACATTTAATGAACAGTTAATCGCTTTCCAGTAAACTTTTCCAAAATCTAATTATTAGTTCTTCGCTTCAAATATATTTCTATAATCCTATTTATAAATCATTTTTAACATATTTTACACAAATCAAAAAAATATTAAATTTTATTAACTTTCATTTAAAATTTAATAACTTTTTAATTTTATCCTTATTTAATATGCAACATGCCTCATGCAAATAAGTCAACACAACAATAAATAAAAGACAAAATTGTGTATCTACATAAAAAATTTCTTTCAGTACCCTATAAATAGGCTCAAAAAATATCTTGTCTCTTTACCTTATACATAAAACTAGAGGAGTGCTCTTCTATTATTTATAAGATACTTTTAACATGTTTTACATAAACTAAGAAAAACATTAAACTGCATTAACTCTTTATCAAAATATAACAACTTCTCAACTTTACCCTTATTTAATTTAAAAAAACTATCTATACTATAATAAATGAAGGATAATATAGTATATTTATGATAAAAATTTAATAAAATAACTTATAAATATAAAAAAATTATATAATTAAATATGAGAGATTGAGAGACTGGGACCAAAATAATATTAAAAAAATTATATAATTAAATATATAAAAATGATTTATATATATGTTTAATATCCCGCTTTCAAAAGTCAAAATTATATTCTTTTGGCCAATGAGCACTCTATTCATTGCTACATCTAATGCATAATATAAGTAGCTTTTAAAAGAACGACTCAATTTAAAATATAAATTTTTTTGAAGAGTAATTAACACTTATTTATTATTATTATTGTAATTAATACTTAAATATAAGCCCTTATATTTTTTTCTTCACAACTTTATTTAATATAGGTAAAGTTAAATTTTTTTATTTGAACATATTTAATGAGTTAACTACTATTTTTTAATTATGATAAACTTGTATTGTGAACCCAAGGAGTATAATAAATTAAGTACTTATGAATTTTAAATGCACACATGGGAAAAAACTATTAAAATGCTCTATATATTCTCAATCAGGAAATAGTGGCCTATATTATACGTTATGAATGGGAGGATTAGGCATAAAAATTACAAAAGTTCCTCCCCTCTCCATTTTTTAAATTGTCCCTAATGAAGAAACTTTTTTATTTTTTTATGTTATGGTTTAAAGAAAATATTAACTGCAAATATAAAAAAACTAAATCATGGAAACATAGAAAAATTGTTAACATTCATTAAAATTACGCAAAATATAAGTTTTATTCAACAATGTCCCTAATTAATATATTTGAATTTTTAACCCCACATCACAATAGGCATTTCCCTGCTTTTTCTTATAAATTGGAAAAAAAAATTCCTTCGTTTTTAAATCTAAGAGAATTCTTAGAAAATTCTTTTTGTTGAAATTAAAGTATAAGGAAAAAGATGCTTATGTTTGGTGCATCAATTACATTCTTTTAATTATACTTATTATTAAATCGGGGGTTGTGATTAAAAAATTAATTTAAGGAGTTAAATACTCTTCTGATCAACAATATAAATATTGCCCCGACTTATCCTAATCTAAAATATAAGTTCAATTTTATAATATCCATGATATTTAATTTAATATATGCTTTTGATAACATTTTATTTTAAGAACTTTACAAATTATTTACATATTTAATGATATAACTGTATTTTCACCTGTACTCTTTTGATTCTACATACGTTAGTTAGATCATAGTTATGCTACAGACCAAAGGAACATGAGGCAGAAATTCAAATATCAAATTGAGGAATTTGGGGGAAAATATTCAGTTTGTGAAACATCTAATGAGAATAATTACTTCTGTTAATTTTGGTAAGGTAATTATTTTTTCCTTATATTAAAGATGTAGGTAATACTTCATACTTTTTTCTTATATTTTGGGCGGAAGTCAATGCTCCGTCAATTCCTCCGGTCCTAATTTAAGAGATATATAAGAGATTTAATTTTTTTATTAAATATAAGATTTTAACCCATTTTGCGTTTTAAATTTATAATTATTTTTAAATTATTCTTATTTATTGTATATATTAAAAGGATTTTTATTAAGATAAGTTCAATTGCATATTATTAAAGAAAATAATCAACATATTTATTATAAATAACTAACTTAATTTTTTTAATATTTATAAATTAGCTATCTCTTTTTTATATTAATGATCAGGAATGTTATCATTTTTCCATTTGCATTCTTATTGCCACTAAATTTTTTCTCCTTTAGGAGCCGAAAGTTTACTTGCTGAAACAAGTTAAGGGCATATTTAAAAGTTAATAAAAAAAACTTAGCCGTGTTACTTATAAATTTGTAAACTTTAATTCACATGCCAGAACGTGATGGATTAAAAAATGGACAGAGAGCATATAGTTTACTTATAGCAAAACTTTAATGTTATTTCACAAAAACTACCTTTAATTATTTTTTTTACTATGTATTTAATTTTTGGGAGAATCGCAAACAAATCCGGCAAAAATATCTAAATCACAATTTAGGCCTCCATTTTTAACAAATTTTTAATCGGGCTGTGAGGCTTAATTAAAAATTTCTGAATTTTATTGAATAATCAGAATGCTCCTCTTTAATTAAAAAAAATTGATTATTTTATCCCTCTCAAGTAATCCCTTAATTTTTGTGATTATTTTTAAGAAAAAATATATAAATAATTTTACAGTGTTTAAAATTTGTAGATATAACTATAAACATTAAAAATAGTTTAATTAAAAAATGTTAAATTAGAAATATAAGTAGCATGTTACTAATTTTTTTTAATTTTCAAATTTTATCATCTACTTTAGTTTTATTTATTAGCAATGTTAGATTCAACCGAAACATAAATTATAGCAACTTAATATTAAATATTTTTTGTAATTAAAATATTTTAAAATCTTGAAATAAATATTTACAACATGAAATAAAAAATATTTTTTTAAAAGACTACTTATATTATAACTTAAAATTTTTTTATCAAACCTTACCAAAAATAACGTTTTATTAAAATATTTTGAATGTTTTAGTTATATATACAAAATTTCAAACATTGAAATAATTTATATATATTTTTTTGTCTAAATATTAATAATAAGAGATGATGAACTATTTAGGAGGATAAAATAATCATTTTTCATTTTAAATTTAAGAGGAATATTTTTGTTATTTAATAACATTCAGAAATTTCTAATTAGGTCTCATGTTTGATTAAAAATTTATTAAAAATGTATGTCTGAATTTGAATTTAGATATTTTGGATGGATTTAATTGGGATTCTTCCTTGATTTTTTTTTTCATTAACCTATAAATAATTAATCGACATTAAATCAATAAAAAAAATTTTCCATTGAATAAAAGATAAAAAGTAATACTTTATTTAAATTTGGAAAAAGATAATTATATCAAGAAAAATAAAAATTCTAAAATGACAGTTGCTTTAAAATGGGAGAAGTCCTCATAAAATACTACTTGTCTAAAATTTACTTTCTCATTATTTTTTTTAAAAAATAATTGTAGAATATGATTTGTTTTTATTTATAGTAGACATTCCAAGGTTACTTCTAATTTTTTGTTAATTTTTATTTTTTAATCTAGTTTTTGTTTTAAATAAATAACGGACTCCGAATATGTATCGCAGCGGCTTGCAAAGGAACACCACAATCACTTCTATTTATGTTTATCCCTCTCCCCTTCCCTCCCTCCCTCTCTGAAAGCACCCAGAAGAAGACTAGGAAGCTCCGTCAAACGTAGTAATGGCTGCCGACGTGAGCTCTCTGGTTCGGACCTTGGGAGGTGGAGGCTGCAAGGACGACCAGCACCGGGCGGCGGTGAATGATTCGACGGGCGAGAAACCGGTGGCTCTGATTACTCGAGACCTGCTCGGCGGCTCCTCTAGGTGCGTCGTCGAATCTCAGGATTTGGATCTTGACCTGCCGGTTCCTAGTGGATGGGAGAAACGCTTGGACCTCGAGGTGCTTTGCAAATCTATTTCTTTATTTCTGTCTGTTTCCCGGGAAAATAAATTATCGCTGTTGGATAGCTTACTGGAACTTCTGGTTTATGGATAGTGATAAAGCTACTGGTTGTTGCGTTAATTACATCTCGGATTTTCTTTCATGGAAACTGAACTACTGAAGTGTCGTGTTTCCGAGCGGAATTTCCATTTCCTTTTCTATGTTCTTATTTACATTCGCTGTTTTGCGTACAAATTTCTTCAACCGAAGCGGCTTCTTCTTCTTCTTCTTCAGATTTATGATTTTTTAAATATTTTTTTTGTTGATGCTTGATTTAGAAGGTATGTGATTTGATTTTATGGCCGCCTGATTGGCTGCTGAGAAACTGGAGCGAATGTGAGTAAAAGTGTGTTACTACCACTATTTATTTTTATTGATTTTGATCACTCTCAGAAATACGTTAAGCTTTTGGCTTTTAATGTAACAGCAAGCCTGCAATCAATCCGTTTTGTTTTAGTACGTTGGCATTTATATCTTAGAAAACAGGGTCTTTCCAAGTTTTACGCTTATATGGTATTCTTTCACAGCTTTTCACATCTTTACATACCTTTTGGATCAATTTTAAATTTAAATTGATTTTCACTTCATTATGTGTTTATTCTTCGGCAAAATCATCTCATATGGAAGAACTATTGTAGTTTTGGCCTGATACAGAGTTTTATAGATCACATGTATTCCTTGGTTTTCTTTAGTATTGCTTTCGATGAGTATTAATGGGTTTTTGTTGTTCTTTGTCCATGGTTGCAGTCTGGGAAAGTGTACATTCAGAGGAGTGACACTTCAACCTTACCTTCAATGTCTGAACAAAAGCTGCAAATGAATCATGAAGGCACATCAACACAGGTAAAGCTCAATTCGCCATTAAGGGCACCTCTGAACCTTTTCGATGAAACAAGCTTAGATTTGAAGCTTGTTTCATCCTCAATGCCATCGAGTAATAATTACCAAAGCGTATGCACACTTGACAAAGTGAAATCAGCACTTGAAAGAGCAGAGAAAGAGCCAATCAAGAAGCGAAATCCTGTCTGGAAACCATGTTCATCATCACCATCACCTTCGTCATATTCATCTTCATCCTCTTCCATGAGAGAAACTCAGGAAGAAGAAAGTGAGGAGAAATTGATGTCATCACCAATGGCAGCTGGATGCCCTGGATGTTTGTCATATGTGCTGATCACGAAGAACAATCCCAAATGTCCAAGGTGTAAGTCGGTTGTTCCTTTCCCATTGATGAAGAAACCTAGGATTGACCTCAACATATCAATCTAAGAGATTGATGATATATAATGATAGCGTCTGGAAAAATTTCTGTCGATTCTGTAAATGATAGATAAAATTACCGAGGTCGTTGAAGGATAGGATTATTTGATTAAGATATGTTGGCCAGTTTTATGTATATTGCAAATGGATTGCGGTTTTATTAGCGAAGCTAATAGAATATTTTATACTTCCTGTATAGTTCTCTTGGAATTTGATAGCGTATTAAGCTTGTTTTCATACGACACAATAATACTCGAAAATTCGTAGTAGAGAATTTTTAGTTTTTTTTTTGGGGGGGTGGGATGCTTGATTTTAATGAAAGGATAGGATTTTCTGGAGGGGGAGGGAATGTAAATGAATTTTTAATAAAATGGAAAAAAAAATCACTTAGGGAGGCTTCATAATAATAACAAGGCTATTTCTCTTGTGAAGGACTCGCCTAATTTATTTCTCACATTTTGTTGTATTTGGTTTGCGCTTATTTTTATTGATTGATTAATACATTTTTTCTTCCCATTCAAAAAAAAAAATTAATCTAAATAATTTAGTAGCCCGTAGAATAGAACGACTTTATTTGAAGTATGCCGAAGAGAATGTATTTAAAATATAACTAATAACTTTTTAAAGATTGATCATTTGTTTAAATTTTGTGGATAATTGTGATGGTTAAGAATTCTTAACATAATTTTGTTAGGTTTGGGGTTTTCAAAATAATTAGACGAAATCACTATGTGATTAAAAAAATGTAATTATCAAAAAAGAATTATAACAAACTAATGACAAGTTTAAGTATAGAAAATAAAAATAAAATTTATGCTGCTCATTTTTTATTTAGACTTTTTATTCTTTCATTAGGGTCTCATCATATTTTTTTACATAACTATGAGAATTTTTCATACGCTGGCGCCCATGAATGAAAATCTTAAATGCCATATTATCTCTTAATCACCCTAATATCAAGAAATGAACTATATGTATGCACCCAATTCGGTGCATTAGTGCTTAATTGCAGAATTCTAATGGGATTCATTCTAATAGCGCCAGTATGATCCCACACTCAAATTTAAATTATCATTAATGAAATGAAAGTTTGAAATACTCTTACTCCAAAAAAAAAAAATACCACTAACATACTCCTATCAAATTTATACCCCTTTAATGTTTTCCTTTATTATCATTTTTTTAATTGACGGGGATAATAGTCTTTCATGCTGTGCATGAATCTCTTAATTGCTTGGGCATCCATGTAATAACTTGTGGTTGTTGAATGATCTTCCTTTCATGATTAGGAAACATGCATGCGGATGTTATTTGACACAGATATAATTAAATTGATAGATGCTTTTATATGTCTTTCAAAAAATACTTAAAGATTTCTCTGATTACCTTTTTTTTTTTGCCAGAGCCTAATCACTTACTATAATTGAAAATTCAGAATTTCCATATAATTGTTCAGTCACAGTTTCACACATATAAATAATAAAGTAAAAGTAATTCAATCTCTTTATCTAAATATTGACGCATTTAGAAATAGAACAGTATGAAATCCTATTGTTAATATAAGAACTCATCTGTCTTTTATTTTGATCCTAAATATAAGACCCTAATTCACTTTGTTTTTCATGTTTATCTATTTTTTTTAACATAGTCCATGTAATAATGATAATTCTAGTTAATTTTGCTCTTTATTTATTATTGTGTTGATTTTATTCACATGAGGTATAATGTATATTAAATAGAGATAAAGCTGAAAAGTTATTGAATTTTAAATGAGAGTTAATGAAATTTAATTTTTTTAGTCTGTGTGAAACATACTGAAAGTGGCTTATAAATAAAATCAGAGGAGGACACTTGATTAACAAGGATATTTTATAAAAGAAATACTTATTTATTACAAATAACTAACTTAACTAGTTTTCTTAATTTATTCAAATTAGTCAATTAAATCTTATATTAAGAATCGGAACTAATATATCTGAGTTAGTACATGCAATTATTGAACTTTGAAGACAATTAACTATAGAGTAGCATTTAAATATATGAACCTAAAAATAATGGGGCACCGGATGAACAAGCATGCTGACTGCTGAGAACAGAGAGAGAGAAATGGCTTATCCAACACGAAAGGGAAAAGGAAAAATGAATATACCAACAAAGTTCTTATTTGTGTCCACTCGAAATGGCTCATTACTTTCCAGCGTTTCAACTTTCAACTGTCAATCTCAATTTCACGTACCATCATTTAACCGCCCAATTACCCCCTTCTTTTTTTCTTTTTTTCTTTTTATTATAATAATTCCTCACCACCACATTGTCACGCCCACATAGGTGAGGGAGTTTGGCCAAAATCAATTAAAAAAATATATATTTTTCCGCAAATTAAGATAAAACTATTTTTATATATTTATCTCATATATTATAAAATTATTTCCAAAAAGCTAATTTAAACAATCCCTTGTTGCTGCAATTATTCACTTTTCAAGTCGAAGTGAAGATTCCTCAATTTGTATATATTCCAGCCCCCTCCTCCTCTGGGGAAGATTCTAGCTTTTTAGTTTCAATATACTACTTTTTATTTTTGTTTCGTTTGTTTCCTTTTTAATTCCCCCCTTCCGTTTTGGTTGCTTTTTCTGATCTGAGTATGTTTCGTGCTGTGTTCCAGAGGTTTTGCTGGTGAACACACACACATATTTATATGGTTTTGGTTTGCTGAAATAGTGAAATAATCTTCTGATTTCCCCCTCCTACTCTAGTGCTATCTGCTGTGAAACATAATTGAAGTTTGCTTCTTATTTTGATCTAACTAGTTCTTATGTTAGGAGGATGTTTGGTTTGCAATAAAAACACTTTTAAATAAAACTCATTTCACATGTTGACTTTTTCTATCAAAAAATTATTTGTAAAGTAGAAAGTTCAAAACAATTTGACACCCTATTCATATACTCAAATAATGAGCAGTCAGACGATATTTGGTCAAACCCACGCAAGCCAGTAATGCAAGTGATTGGATGTTCCCACTGAAAAACAATCTCACATTATCTCAATTTCCACGTTACGTACCTAACCATGCAAATCCCTTACCTTTGCATGAGCATAATAACTTTTCGATGTACCGAACGAGCCCTAGCTGTATTATAATCAATTTGGTTTCCTGTTCATTTTGAGCATAAGAAGAGCATGCTCATGCCCTCTAATCAATTTGATAGATTTGAAATTTTTAAATTTTATTTTTTGCAATTTAAAATTAAGAGACCTTAATCATTTTATATCTGCCGTTACCTTCAAAAACTAAAATTATTAAGTTGTAAATTTTAGATGGTACAGTTCAGGGCAAAAACGAAAATGAAAAAAAACAGAGAAAAGAAAAGAAAAGCAACTAATTTATTGAAAATGAAAAGAAGACACTCTCTTTTGTTTTTATCACAAGTCATTTTCAATCACCTAGTCAGAGTAAAGAAAAAAAAAATTTTAACTTATTAAATCCGTCTTAAAATTAAAATAATTTTTTAATTTTGCCCCTAAAAGTATTGAATAAAAATTAAATTTTCTCTTTAGTAATTTGCAATGAGGGTAAAGTTAGAGAATATAAATAATAAGTCTCTAAATAATGTATATCAGAGATGATGGATTTATATATTTTTTTCCCTAAGGAGGGCACAAACAAGCCCATGCTGTGTAAAATTTCTGAATCGAGCATTAAAAGTTACTTCCATTTTTGAACCATATTACTATTCTCGTAGATGTGTTTATTTATTTTAAAAGGAAAATGGAGGGCAGCATTTTTTATTAAATAGGCATTGACTAACATTAATGGGTGGTTGAACTACTTACTGCGTAAAATAATAATAAGTTGTTGGAGGGGGCAGCATCATATCATAGAATGAGTAACACACTTTGGATTGAAACGTTTGTTGAAGAAATTCAAGTTCGGCCCTTATGGCCATAAATGTACTCTCACCCTTACTTTCTTCCTTCTTTCAATAAATTAGCCCCAAAAAATTACTCCCTCCGTTCCTTATTATAAGAGACGAATAACCGAATTACGTTGATCAAAAAAATAGTTAAAATTAGTTAAGAACAATGAATGTGTAAAAAGTATAATTTTTTTTCCAAAAATACCCTCATTAATAAAGAGAGAGAGCATGAGAGAGAACAATAGTAAATTCTTAAAAGAAAGAGAAGTGGGAAGGAGAGAGAGTGTGAGTTGGAGACAATAAATATGGGTAAAATAGGAAATCAACACAAAAAAGTAGAGATAACTTTTAAGTGTCTCTTATATTTAGGAACATGCTATAAGCATCAAATGTCTCTTATAATAAGGAACGGAGGGAGTATTGTATATTGACACTTATTATTATTATTATTATTATTCCCACGCACACAAGCATTGTGGCTCAAATTTTCTGAAGTGAATTCATATATCTCTGATCTTACTGGAAGCCAAAGCTTAATTAAGTTAATTTTTGAAGCATTAATTAATTAATTATAAGGATAAAATTGACAAATAAGAGTTAATTATTATGCAAGTGACTTATACTATGAACCGAAAAATTCTTGTAAACATTACTTATATTGTGGATTGGTGGGAGTATTGGCTTAAACAACAAATAATTTTATCCCATCATAGTTACTCAATTAGTCTTTGGATGCATGGTAGAAGATATTATGAGGCATTGATTTAGGTTATTTTAAGTGATTTTCCGTTATGTAAAGTAAACATATGAAAATATTTTTGTCTTATAAAATTTAAAAGTGATTTTTGAATCACTTCCCAAAGGAGTCTTAATTTAAAAAAAAAATACTTTAAAAAAATTGATATGGCTATTTTTTTGGGTTATATTTGAGCATTTTCGGATCTAATTGAAGATAGCTCTCCTAAAGATGTTTTTAACATTCACATGGGCTTTAATTCAAGATCTGGTGAAGCTGCTTTCACTAAAACTATTGGTGTTGGTTAAAAATTTCTAATGTATCAAACGGATAAGAGGGCATGAGCATGCTGTTCTCATTTTCAAGATGAACACGAAACCTATATCTATAGGTGAGGTTGGAGTTTACCTTTGAATCCTTGGCCATCCATTTACAAAGTTTTTATATACTAAATTATATGAAATAATTTAATATAAAGAAATATCTGCAATGGTAGTAAATAGGTATGTTGATGTGCTGAAAATTTATTGTGAATTTGAGAAGGGAGT